AAAAAAAAAAAAAAAAAAAAATAATAATAATAATAAAATAATAAAATACAATATCGGAATAATAAACTAATAAAATAATAAACTGTTCTATAACAGTGTCTTTATACATATATAACTTGAGAACTTTATTGAATAAACTGTAAACTTGATTATACAACTATTTGTATCTTCATATACAATTAGCCGTTTGCCTCTTCGTAATTGCAAAATCACCAAATCCTCTTAAAAGTGTAACTGCAACTAACCACATATTTTACTTAGCATAAATCGGCACTTGAATATTAATTTCCTAATCTGTCTATCGCTATAGTAAAACCATTATACCAGATTTCTAAGAGGTAATTCTGGGTGTAACACTACGTATTACTCTGTTATATTAAAATTTGCATAAACGAAGACAAAATGCTTAATATAATCAGATTTTTTTCTTGTCATATGGGCTGATTTTTGGAATTTATAAGTAGAGTATATTTTTTAAAAAACTTTAAAGCTAAATAACTTCTGATCTACTGGTCCATTTTAAATAATTTTATTATCAAAATGTTCGTCTCTTTGAGACGATTCCAACGAGCCCAAAATCATTAAAATCTAATCACAGGATCTTGTGATAATGCGCTGTCAAATAGTGACGCACCTAGAGAGTGGGGTTGATTGGTTAGTCCTATGTCTAACCAATCAACCCCACCCTCAGGTGCGTCACTATTTGACAGCGCATTATCTCATGATCCTGTAATTAGATTTTAATGATTTTGGGCTCGTTGGAATCATCTCAAAGAGACGAACATTTTGGTAATAAAATCATTTAAAACTGACTAGTAGATCAGAAATTATTTAGCTTTAAAGTTTTTAAAAAATACACTCTACTTTTAAATTCCAAAAATCGGCCGATAAGTTATTTCTTATACATTATTACCTTGCACAATAATTCCATACGTATTTAAAACTCAGTAAGCCAATTACAACATGTAAGGCGTGATTATAAATTGCACAATATCGATATTTGATCATGCGATAATAAATATCAAATGTTGTTCTGTCGACGACAAAACAAATTTCATGATATTAATTAATCATTGTGTAACTAATATCTTATAATTACAATCATTTTGAATTTTATTAAATTTTGGGGAAATTACACGCAAGGCCCCGAAAAAATGAAAATAATTACAAATAAAGGCCCAAGTTGAAAATAATTACAGATAAAACCCAAATTTTGAAAAATTTACAATTAAGGGCCAAAATGGTTCTTTGAACGTTATCACCGTATATACAGCATACTTCATCATTTAGTACTATATCATTTCGCTTAATGAAATTTTCTTTTAACCAAAATACAGTTCGACTAAGTAAAATACGATATTTATCAATCTTGTAATATTTATTCGGTTCTAAGCTAACATATCTATCCTATGCCAAAACTAGTGAATCATATTTTATGAAGGTTACTATGCGTTAATCGAAGATATTTAGAACGCAAAAACTCATTTGTATTCGTAGGGAAAGTTAAATTATTTTTTATATGCAAGACACTAAGAGAATGAATGCAATATTGATTAAAAAGTAATATGTACGTTTAACTATCAAAAGAAAATTACATTTATATAATTTTAAATGTCAAAAACTTTTAATCTAACTATATAGTTACGATAAACTTGAACCCTCGATTGTAATATTTGGGCCCTTATATGTAATTATTTTCGCTTTTGGCCCTTATTTGTAATTATTTTCATTTTTCGGGTCCTTATGTAAATTCCCCTCAAATTTTTTACTTTTAATTAAGCGAAATAAATAAATAATATTATTGGTTTTTAGGTAGTATCATGCGAATTTTACTGTCCATATTGTCTCTGAGGCAAACCATTCATTTTTGATACTTCTGTGCCTACTTTATTGATACACCTAAACATACCTAAAATTTCTATACTTTTTACCAATCTTATTGGTTAGTTTTAGGGTACGTTAAGATGTATCAAAAAAGTAAAAAAAGTAGGTGCGGAAGAATCAGATTTTCCGGTTAAATTGCTGTGGTAAAATCGGCCAATCAAATCATTTTCACATGACTTTTGAGTCAAGTTAGGGTTGTTAATGGAATACTCCAGTCAATAATAAAACATATAACCCACTCCGGAGTACTCCCGAAGCGAATTATATGTTTTATTATAGTCTGGAGTATTCCAGTAACAACTCTAGTCAAAGTTTCAAAAAAATTCAATTCGAACTAAAAATTTTGATTTAGATTTTACGCTAGGGAAAATTGCATGATCACATGTACATATAAAAAGATTAATGATCAATAAAATTTACCTAACGCTAACGATACAGTACGTATTAAATAAGATCCAAATATCATATGATTCAAGGCATGAAGGACCGGCGGAAATAATTTTCGAGATGGCGAACCCTAACCCTTTGATTTTGATAATCTCTTTCGATTGGTGCGATAAGGTTTTTCATCGATTTCAAAAATTATAAATCAATTAAAATCTTTCTATTCTTGTTCAGAAATTTTGTGGTAATAGTTCTCTAATGCCAAAGAAACATCCGACTAAAAAACTTAGTAAAACAGTTAGCCCATATTTCCAAAACATATCAAAACTATCACAGAGAATAGAAACTGATTCTAAATACTTTCTACCCACAAAAAAAGTGTATCGATAATAAACATTTATTCAAAAAAAGTAAGGGATAACAAAATTCATGTGAATGAGCCTACGGTGAAAAAATCATCTAAAAAGAGGGTGGAATTATCTTCTTCGATCGATTTGGATGTGCTTGCAGAAAAAAAGATTGCACAGTTTGTACCAAAATACATCCCGATGCCTTCTCCTCATGATCTTGTCCAAGAATCATTGTATTATGATCCTTGGAAGGTAATTAATTATACAAGAAACATACGTTATAATTACCGGTACCTTTTTAATAATGTAAATAATTTTTTTCCAAACTATCAATATTTGGATTGACAGCACCTCATTGCAACTATGTTTTTGAATCGTACTCGAGGCAGTCAAGCATTACCATTTTTGTGGAAATTTTTAGATGAATATCCAACACCACAAATTGCAATTAAGGCTGATATCAATAAATTGGCCGATCTTTTACGCCCTCTTGGATTGCAGTAAGTATAAATTTTCTATCTTATTCAATTTTATAAAAATCATTACCCATAAACAAAGTGATTAAGACCCTATAATTTTCAGAAACATTCGAGCAGAACGAATTATAAAATTTACGCAATCATATTTGATCAGGCCTAATTTTTCCTCTCCAAGGGAATTATTTGGTATGGGAAAATATGCAGAAGATAGTTGGCGATTGTTTTGTGGAGAAAAGGATGATGCTTGGATGAAAGGCTCTGGTTTTGAGCCTGAAGATAAGATGTTAATATTATATGTGGAGTGGCGTAGACAGCAATATGAGCTCGCTAATGGAATGTCTGTTGATGGGCATTTATCTATTAGTTAATGGTATCAATGGAAAGCATAATTCAGATATCTAGTAATGCTTTTGACGTACCATTGTAGTTTACAAGGTATAAATTTTATAAGGTTACATAATTTTTGTAATATAGTAATTTTTTGGTAATAAGATTTAAGCTAGTTTATTTTAAATTACATGTATTGTCGCGGATTATAATGAAATCGGATTAAAATGAAATGAGGGGTTTCTATTTGTCCCCCCATAAAAACCCACTTATACTTTTTTATTATAAAATCTACCCCTAAACATTAATCATAACCCTAAAAAAAATACTAATTTAATCTGATTTCATTTTAATCCGTCACATTAAATTTGTAACGATTAATTGTTAAATTACATTAGTCTATTTGGGTGGATCTTATTTTTTCTACCCATTTTATCTACAGTCCATTTAACAGACATCACCTAGGGTTAGGGTTAGCATTTTATTAGTTGCAGATATGGATGAATAGTAAATCGTCACCCGCGTGATGTTGGTTAAATGGGCTTTTAGGTTAAATAAAACCCATATAGGTATAAAAAACTATAATATGTAGTTTCATATTGCTTTAATACAAAACTCGATATTACAATAATTCATAATTAGTAAACTAATTTTACATTAAAATACTGTATAATAAAAAGTAAATGTTATATAAAATTAATTTATTTTTTGTTAACACAAATTCTAAAATGAACCCAGTTTTTTTTAAAAAAAAATTATAATTCTATTTCAAGATCGACACAGTTAGTATAATAACGTTAAAAAAATTAAATGCAATATAAAAATAGCAAATTTAATGGTAGAAATTGTCGAAAGTCTATATGGGTTGGAATACAACTAGCTAACAATAAAGTTTTTTTTTTTTTAGCTAACAAATATTACAGAGTAAATTATTCCGGTTTCAATGGTGATAAAATTATTAAAATCTGATTATCCAATCACTAGTTATTGACATTTTCTCCTTTGTGATTTTTACATATTGCTATTGCGGTCTACCACTTAAATATTTTTAAAATGAGGTTATGAAATTAGTAAATTAATTTGTAAGGCCTTATTACAACTTGTTTATTAGCTACAGCTAAACCAAAAGGTATCTTGAGATATTACTAAAACTTTTTGGGACCTAATAATGATACCATTTCTTTATATTTCTTATCAAAACAGCACAGAATCAGGTGTCTTTATGCATTTTTCTTGCTGTATTTTGTGATCTTAGAAGCTTCACTGACACAGTTTTAACATGACGTTTTTTCTTCTTCAGTATTATACTGTTTTGAATGAGTCTAAGATGTGTAGCAGAACATGACAGTTTATAGTTCATTTGTGTTAATGCTTCTTGGAGCTGATCTAAAGTCTTGACAGATCATGCTGCTTTGAATATCGTCTTTCATCTGCCTGCCTATTCAGCTATGCAAAGAATAGTTTCTAACAAGCCTGTTGGCCTAATAAGCTGCATGTTAAAATCCGCTTCTTTACATTGCCTTTCTATTTGAAGTTTTTGTTTTTGCTGATATCTATATTTTTGCTCAAACTATTGGTGATATTCTAATTTAGATAAGGCTTTTAATGATGAATCTAATTTAACTTGAATTTCTTTCTTTTTTCTCACTATCAACATCGATAATCATTCCTCTAGTGTTGTTTTTAGTTTCGAGAAATATAAAATAAAGATGGAATGGATCACTTTACAAAAAAGTTGAAAGGGATTAGATAACGATTTTTGACTTGATGTAGTTTTTTTAGAAGGAATGTTTTCTGTAAGAGAAATATTGCTCATTTCCTCGCCACTTGTTGCTTTTTCATTAACTGGTTTTATGTTATTCGATTCAAAACTAAGGGAAATAGTAAAACTGGATGATTTATTTATTGCAGAAATAGTAGCTTCTTATAAAGACTTGCTCAAATCATTACAATCGCATAGGACAACTTGTTAAATTCCATTGTTCGAAATGCGAATTCTAAATTTAACCAATCAGAGCAACTCTATGAAAACAAGATAAAGTCTGCACCACCAGATTTTTTTCATCGAAGTGATAATTCCATTGGTTAGTTTATCCAATTTCCGGCTAATTCTGATCCATTGAGTGAGGTGCTTGAGAATACCCTAAATTTATTGCACACAGAATTGATGCTAAAAATAAGCTACTGTATTTTTGGCAATACAGTAAAAATCATCAATAACATGCACATGTAAAAAATGATACCCTGGTATCCCTATTGCTTAAAATATAAATATGAAAAATCATCTAAAATAAGTCGGCATGGATTTCTCAAAAGACCAGAATTTTCTGCAGAATTAGAACTCAATATGTTTTTTGTACGTCAAGAATGGAATTATTTTAGATTTAGAATCTACTTATGTTGAACGGAATTCCAAATTTAGCTCAAGTTGATACGAAATCTAAAAGCAAACTTATGTTGATTCTAAGTAAGATACCGGTATTGTAATAAATGTGCAATTGATGATATAACGATAGTTAGATTACACCTTGTTATAATAAATTGTCAAAATATTTAAATGCAAATTTGTTATTTTTTTATTCTTTCAACTCTTTCTATCTGATCGAATATTTTTTTTTTAAGCTAGCCTCTTAGGGGTTAAAAACGTAAATTCGTAATTTACGCATATGGGCCGATTCATTTCAACCTCAAATCAGCTAATTGAAGATCGTCAAAAAAAAAATTCTTCGCCTAAAAAATTATTACAAAGCGAATTTCACAAAATGATATTAAATAAGTAATCAATAGGGTTGTTTGATTGTTGCAGAATTTAACCCTATTGGTTCCATATTGCTGTCGGATTTTGGCGTAAAAGGAGGCCATCAAAGAGGGTGATATTAACCAAAAAATCAATCGAGAACGGCCTTAATATAGGTGATAATTCAACAATTAAATAAGCATAGTCTATACTAAATTTGATTTCAGATGGCTATAATTTTTATATATTCATTTTGCCAGGGACCATTAGGGGAGAAGGAGAGGGCGTGATGTTAACCAAAGAATCAACTTTAAATGGCCTAAAAGCTACAACAAAGTTTTTAAAACTTTGAGCAAAGATATCTTGATATAACCATCTATTAAAAATTTTTTTATTCTAATTATATATTTTTGTATTATTAAAATAAAAAAATTTTTATCGATTTTAGATAGGTAGTTGTCAAGATATTTTTACTCAATGTTTAGAAAGAGCTTGCGACAAAGTTTGTTTCCAAACTTTGAGCAAAGATATCTCGACAATCACTCATTTAAAATTGATAAAAATTTTTTATTCATTCTATATGAAGGTATAATTAAAATAAAAAAATCAATTTTAGAAAGAACTTGGATAATTATCAAAAGTTGCGACAAAGTTTTATTTAAACTTTGAGCGAAGATATCTTGACAATCACCTATTTAAAATTAATGTAATTTTATTTTATTCTGATCCTATATGCCTGTATAATTAAATAAAAAAATTTTATTGATTTTAGATAGGTGGTTGTCGAGATATTTTTGCTCAAAGTTTAGAAAAAAAAAACTTGGATAAATTTCAAAATAAGTTGTAACAAAGTTTTTTAACTTTGAACAAAGATATCTTGACAACCATCTATCTAAAATTGATAAAAAATTTTATTTTGATTTTATATCACTGTATAATTAAAATAAAAAAAATTACAATTGAATAATTTCGACCAATCAATAAAGAATACATTTTGATCATTCTGATATGTCTTAATGGTTAGAGCACGTGTCCGTAGATTGCAGCTTCAAATCCAGTTTGAAATATTAGGTAGTTATTTGCCCAAAATTGTGATTATTGCGAATTTGTCCTACACTAAAAATCAATCTCATGATCAGATGATTCGATTTTATCACAAAATTTGTTGAAATGAGCAGGTAGAAAATAAATTAATAAAATTGATACATATTCGAATCTTAAAACTAGATACATTTTAATACTAAATTTTCTGTTATCCCGTGGTTTTTAAAAGGCTATTAAGTTTCTGGTCTTTAAACGGTTTGGTGTGTTTATTTTTATTCTTCAAATACGAGATATAGTTTTTTTTCTATTATTGAGATTACAGAATTGCTAATGTGTATAATATTTTATATTGCAAAATCGGCCATATATAATCAAGCCTTGACCATTGGTTCGCAATATGTTATATAAAAATTATATGCTAGCTAAACTCATAATACATTAATATTCTTGCAACCACAATTTGTTAAGGGTAACTTGTTTGTGAAAATATAGCAGCTGTCACATGATAGAAAGAATCATGACATATTTGACTTATCGGGTACCTGAATAATTATTGAGTCTAACAATAAGTTGAAATTTTTTATTTAGTTAATAAGCATTATTTTATGAACCATCATTATAAGAATTATCATTATTGGTGTTGTCGTTATTGGTGTCACCATTTTTGATGTAGATTGTAGCTTTTGTTGTTTAGTGGTGTTGGTGAAAATTTCAGACATTTTTCCTTTTAGTATCATTGGTGGAAATTTTAAACTTTTATCACTATGATGTTGATAGAAATTTCAGACTTTCGTTGTTTTGATGTTATTGGTAAAGATTTCATTAGTGATTTAGGCCTTTATTGTTTCAGTGCATTATTATTTGGTAATAGTATTTTTTTGCTATAATTTATTGTCTTTAATTTGTTATTACTAGATAAATGCAAAGCATTGTTTGTCTGGAACTTATTTAAATATATTAAAGTTTTAAACTTTTTTGTACTAAATTAATTATCTTTGAGTCTCTAATTAAAGTTGTAGAGCTCATTGAAACAATTCTAATAATAGTTAAATCATCAAAATCGGTCTAGTAGATAGTAAGAAATTATTATTATTTTTTTTTGGTATTAAGGTTATTTCTTGGTCAAGTGTGTTTTTATTGATTTTGAACATTATTATACATATTTGGAGGGTACATCTAATCATACCTGCGCCTTTTGAGCATCTATTTAAGTAGTCTGCCTATTATTAGGTTCTATACTAGTTGCTGTACCTGCAACCC